AAAACCAGATACCAAAAAACCAAACCAAACTCATTGCTGTCAAATTGGTTCCAAGTCATAGCGACCCCTCCTTGGGTTTCTGAGGCGGTATCTCAAAGGAAGCAGATTGCCCAGTCTTCCTTCTCAGGAATGGCTAGTGGGTTTGAACTGCCAGCCTTCTGATAAGCAGTCAAATGCATTAGGCACTACGCCACCAGGGCATGTCATTTTACCCTATACTTAACTATTCATCTCTAACTGATGAGGATGTTTTAAAAACAAAGTCACCAGCATGCCATTTCATTCTGCAGAATTAACAGTAACTCCTTAGTATCATCTAATACTCAGTACTTGGCTTCCAAAGCTGGGAGTTTTTTAAAAAAAACAACAACAACAATCTCCCCAGGTCATTCTACTTTGTAACCAAATTTAAGAACTGCTCATCTATGTTCATCTAGAAACCTGATTAGAGGTTTTTCTTTTTGGGAGGGGTGGTGGTGGTGCTGGTGACAGTTGTTTAGCCAAGTTCTTTAGGTAAATACCACGTAGTTCCTATTATAACTTATCAGGAGGCTCATGTCTGGCTATTCCCTTGTTAGTGATCCTGAGATCATACTGGACTCAGTTATGTGCCGCCTCTGATTCACCTAGTCCTTTCAGTCCCAGGTCGGAGTCATTCAATGGTGAGAACGGACAACCTCATCTCCTAACACTATTGGTTGTCTCAGAATCTCTAGGAATGAAGACCACACTGCAGGATGACCTTCAATATACTCATTGCAGCAGGAAGCAGAGGAGTTCCAACACTCAGCTTCAATCTGAACAGACCCACAGAGTCACTGACTACAGATGTCTTATCCTTCCTCTTTCCACAAGATTGTTACAAGGCACAGTGGTTCCATATAGCCTTTCTGGAGAAATTCTGCATGACCAAACAATATGGCTGTATTTTGTGAGGCTGTGGTCAGTTCAGCTTAGTGCACTCCACTTTCTATTTGCTGCCTTGGGATAGCATACCCCACTGAAGCTTTGCCACAGAAATGATTGCCAAACATTAATATACATACAAACCACTTAAGGCACCCACTAAAATGAAGTTTCCAATTCAATAAGTCTGATATGGCCCGAGATGTTGCATTTCTGCACTGGCTCATGGGTGATGCCAATGTGGCTGGTCTTAAGCCCATAGTTCCTGTAGCAAGGTCGACAGAACTGGGCCTAATAAAAAACTGATCAACAGATTCAAGTGATTTCAGCCCGATTATAAAATTTCCCATTAACAGTTCATCTAATGATATCTACATGGATCCAAAATCCACCAAGCCCTCCGTCATGGAGTCAATTC